CCCAACAGCCCAACAAACCCAATAGCCCAACAACACAACAGCTCAACAGCCCAATAGCCCAACAGGCAATAGCCCAATAGCCCCACAAACCCAACAGCCCAATTGCCCAACAGGCAATAGCCCAACAGCCCAATAACCCAACAAACCCAACAGCCCAACAGCCCAATAGCCCAACAACCAAACAGCCCAACAACCAAACAGCCCCATAGCCCAACAGCCCCATAGCCCAACAGGCAATAGCCCAACAGCCCAATAGTCCAATAGCCCAACAGCTTAACAGGCAACAGCCCAATAGTCCAATAGCCCAACAGCCCAATAGCCAAGTGAATATAGTTATGGTCTTGAGAACAATAGTTTTGCATGGACTCCAGGTGGCACAGGGTTAACTATCGACAACAGCGCAAGGTTGCAGAGCATCAGGAATGAGGTGGTTACAAGTTAAGAAAGGAAAAGATGGCTTTAGCAAWAAAAAAAAAAAAGGGAAGAGGAAAAGTGAAAATGTAAAAGAATCCTGGTGTGTATTAAACGCAGGAGGTGAGAGTATGGTGCAAAAATTAAAGATCACGTGACCTATGATAAAACGATAGATGCCCATGCGCACAAGCGAAAGCACCTTTTACTTCATAGGCACAGAACTGTGATCAGAGGTAACCTCATATACCTTATATTGATGTTTGCCTTGTTGGTTTGTTGGGTCTAATAAATCCCTAAATCGCGACTGGTATATCAAAAAATACCCTAAAAACACCAAAAATCAATCAAAATCATGGGCTATAGTCCATGCTTTTTGCCCAAAATGTTCCAAAATTCAACCATTTCAAAATTGGGTTATTTTTTAAGGCAATTGAAATAACACCCAAAAGTGATCAAAACCATTGATGCTTTTTGGCCAAAATAGACCCTTTTCCAAAAAGAGTTAATTTTGAAGGAAAGTCAAAAAATTCCTAAAAACACCCAAAATCAATCAAAACCATGTGCTGTAGTCCATGCTTTTTGCCTAAGATGGGCTAAAATTGACCCATTTCAAAATTGTATTAATTTTTAAGGGGATTGAAAAAACACCCAAAAGTGATCAAAACCATGTGCTATAGTCCATGCCTTTGACCAAAATGAGCCATAATAGCCCCTTTTCCGAAGAGAGTGAATTTTGAAGGGAAGTCAAAGAATACCTAAAAACACCCAAAATCGAGCAAAACCTTGGGACATATTCTATGCTTTTTGCCTAAAATAGGCCAAAATTGACCATTTTCTAAATTGGATTAATTTTTAAGGGGATTGAAAAAACACCCAAAAGTGATCAAAACCATGGGCTATAGTCAATGCTTTTTGTCCAAAATGTTCCAAAATTCAACCATTTCAACATGGGTTAATTTTTTAGGTAATTCAAAAAACACCCAAAAGTGTATAAAAACCATGGGCTATAGTCCATGCTTTTGGCCCAAAATAGGCCAAAGTTGACCATTTTCTAAATTGGGTTAATTTTTAAGGGAATTGAAAAAACAACACCCAAAAGTGATCAAAACAATGGGCTATAGTCCATGCTTTTTGTCCAAAATGTTCCAAAATTCAACCATTTCAACATGGGTTAATTTTTTAGGTAATTGAAAAAACACCCAAAAGTGATCAAAACCATGGGCTATAGTCCATGCTTTTTGGCCAAAATGTTCCAAAATTGAACTATTTCAAAACTGGGTTAATTTTTAAGGGA